CAGAACTCTTATAACAAATTTTGTGAATAGTACTATGTTTCAAATGCTGAAATTCCTTTGTGTTAAAAAATTAATAAGCATGATGAATAGCATGGAATTGAAACCTCTGGCCTTGATTTGATGTGTAGATCCTATGTGAGTGATTGTCTAGTCTGCTTTCACAGATGAATGGAAAGTATATTTTGTTTTTCTTCTTCTGGAAGCCAGTTGTGTTCACAGTAGAATGGTGTTAAATGCTTCTTTTTTGGGTAAATTTATAATTTTTTTTTTTTAAGATAGACTTTTGCTCTTGTTGCCCAGGCTGGAGTGCAGTGGTGCGATCTCGGTTCATGCAGTCTCTGCCTCCCAGGTTCAAGCGATTCTCCTGCCTTAGCCTCCTGAGTAGCTGGGATTACTGCCTGCCACCATGCCCAGCTAATTTTTGTATTTTTAGTAGAGACAGGGTTTCACCATGTTGTCCAGGTTGGTCTCAAACTCCTGACCTCAGGTGATCCACCTGCCTCAGTCTCCCAAAGTGCTGGGATTATAGGTGTGAGCCACTGTGCCCAGCCAGTTTATAACATTATTAAGCATATGTAAGTTCTCGTTTAGGAATCACAGTCATCTGTGATTCTACATTTCAAATAGAATTATTAACAAATTGAACTATATTAATAATATAATTATTACATAAATTTAATTGTGTGCCATTTAGCAGAAGAAACATGAACTTAGTGTATATAGGGTCAGAGTATCTCCTATTCCTTGAATACTTTTGAGGAGCAGTAGAACTTGGGTTTTGTTTTCCAAAGAAGCACCAATGGAACATTTTCTGATTCTGTAGAATTTTTTACACATTTATTTATTATTTTGTGGGTATAAAGGAAAATTCTGGCCAATTTTTCTGTTTCATGGTTAAAACAAATTTGGAAGACAGGTTGTAAGTGCAAATTAATATTTATTCTCCTAAATCAAGACTATAATATTAAGAAATAATACTTTTAAAGAAAGAAGAGAGCCGTCACTTATGCATTGTAGACCATTAAAAAAATCTCTATGGTATGGCAATAGTAAACCATTTTGTGATTTTAATTCTTTACTAATAATTTTATAGCTAGAATTTAAAGAACATTAAAAGTTGATCTACATATATTTCTGTTTGCATTCTAGGAATCACAGTTTATCTGAATGCTTTAATTCAGAAAATTTTCACATAAGTCAGAACTATGGTTTATTTAGTTTTTATACCCACTTTTCATCAAAAAAAGATTTTTGATGATAAGCCTGTTAATAAGACATTTTGTTAATTGCATGTGTATAGTTCAACAAGATGAATTATTGCCCAATTAAAATTTCATAAGCAAAACTAATAGTAGTACAATTTCTGTGGAATGCACTGTCTCCTAGGCATTTGACATGCTTAGATCTTAATAGTGAAGACTCAAGAAGATCTTCCATGATATTGCCTCAGCCTATCTTTTCAGATTCATCTGCTACCTCCCATCAAATGCTCCACATTGCCGCCAAAGTTTTAGTATAAAGAAAGAAACTTCAAAGGGCCGGGTGTGGTGGCTCATATGTGTATTCCCAGCACTTTGGGAGGCCAAGGTGAGCGGATCACTTGAGGTCAGTCAGGAATTTGAAACCAGACTGGCCAACATGGCGAAACCCTGTCTCTGCTAAAAATACAAAAATTAGTCGAGTGTGGTGGTGTGTGCCTATAATCCCAACTACTTGGGAGGCTGAGACAGGAGGATCACTTGAACCCGGGAGGTGGAGGCTGCAATGAGCTGAGATCACGCCACTGCACTCCAGCCTGGGTGGCAGACTCCATCTCAAAAAGAAAGAAAGAAACTTCAAAGAGAAATCATTGAGGATTTTAACCAGAAGTCCAAAAACAGCCCCATAGTCTAATATTAAATATGTTCCCCATAAGGATTTGCCATTTCCTACCTGTCTGCTTCGGCTTCTGTTATTTTTATGTGTAGAATGTCCTTTTATTGGTCTATCATGTATCAGTTTGCTATTTGCTACAATAAATCTGCATAACAGACCTCTAAATTTATACTTGTGGGTTTGCAGGTCTACTGAATGTTGGCTGACCTGAGCAGGGTTCGTGAGTAGCTCTGCTTAACACTATTGGTCTCACTGGGGCTGACTTTTAACTGTGAGCTTTGGGCTTAGGTATGCTCCATATGCGTTCATTCTGAGCCCACAGTTAGAGGGGAAGTAGCTACCTAGTAGCAATGTTCAAAGTGCAAAAGTATGACCCAACTAAACTCATTTTAAGCCTTTGCTTGCATCCGCTCTGTTAGCATCTCTGGCTAAAGCAAGTTACTTCATCCAGTCTATATTCCATGGGTAGGAAAGGAACTGCAAAGTTACACAACAAAGGTTGAGGAATCATGGATGGGAGAAAATTGGGGCTGGAAAATCAAGCCTCCATCTTCACATGGCAAAATCCTGCCTACTCTTTTCCCCTGCTTTTTAATTTTGGTTCAAAAAAGGACACATAATGTCAAATTTACCTTTTTTTTTTTTTTTTTTTTTTTTTTTTT